AGACAGACAGACAGACAGACAGACAGACAGACAGACAGACAGACAGACAGACAGAGCTATCTTATGTCGTCGCCAAACAGAGTACATCCTTGTGTAGCATTTATATGTCACATTTTATTGGTATACGTGACTAAAGAGCAAATCCTTAAGCCGTTTATCTTCCTTTCACTCAGTGCTTTAGCTGATTCAGTCTCGGAATAGTCTGTGTCGTCACTTGTTATTGACCTAACAACTTTATTGACACTGTGGTTAAGTACCCGTGCTGGTGTTTTATATTTGTTTTGACAAGGACTGTTCCATTTTTGGCTAAGTGCGCCCTATTGTGCAGAGACTACAAGATCTGTTTGTGTAACGAACTAACCGTCAAAGGGCGGCATCATTTGTTTTGGATAAGGGACAGCCAATGGAACGAAAATGAAGCTGAGTTACTTTGGACAAATTATCTCTTGAGTGAGAACGTGGCATGCTTTCCCTCTGACAGGACGCATTCCAGCGAGCTGGGTTCATTTCACGGATACTGTATTTTCGTCGTTGTTTTATATTGGTTTTGCTATATGAAGTAGGGGGAAATGAAAGAGGACATGATGTTTCGGTCTTCCTTTGTTTCAAATATTTGACGGCGTGTGTGTGTGTATACCATTGTCAGTGCTGAATAGCCACAAACTTGGTTGAGAAGGTGCCATGGCGTTCTTCTCTCGTTATAAGTCGGCGCCACAATTACTAAATGCCGGCGACAATACGTATATCATCGTTGGTCTGCGAGGACCAAGCGACGACGAGGATGACGACGACGATGAGGAGGAGGAGGAGGAAGAAGAAGAGGTGGAAACAATCCACATTGACACTTACGAAATAAGCGACCTCGACGCCAAAAGAATTGATACTGGCGATGTGGAATCTGCTTCCGCTTCCGGTGAGAGCGCGCCAACAAGCAGCACACTCTCCGTCAATAATCCAATGGAGTTCTCTCCCCTTAGCGAGTCGGAGTCGTCGCCTTCTGTAACACACAGAACATGGAAGAAAAAGCGAAGGGCGCCGCTTCCACCCGACATGTCTCCGGTCCTGAGTTTGAGACACAGCTACGCCTTTGACTCCACCGGTGGCATGCGTCTCCGGACATCCACGGATACCGACTCAGTGGCGTCGGAGAACATCGGTTTGTTCTATCAGAACTCTACGGACAGCGAGCCTTTGCTGCCTGAATCGGCGCGGGGCTCCAACTTTCCCGGAGAATTAGCAGGGGTAGACAATCTGTACAGCCTACGCAGTCCTAGGATTGACCATCTGCGGGCTGACAATTTGGGGGACAACCTGAGTGGTTCCAGTTCGAGTGAAAGGTTAAGCGGAAGTTTGCCTCGATCTCCCCGAGAACGCTCGAAGCTCAAGAAAATCCAGGACGCACTCCGCTCTCCACAAATTGGCCGGAAAAAGTCGAAGAAGGAAAAGAATGATGGTGTTAAGACATCCCCAAAAGTGAGAAAAAGTAAAATTGAAGAAGGCAGCAAATCTCCCCGGATTCGAAAGAGCGCTAATTTCGAACCAATGCCAGAAATGTCTGACTGGATTATTGCATGTCTATGTGACGACCTAGAAGCTGAACAAGAGTTTGAGGTAAGTTTCATAGACACACTCTGTCTTCCCCTGTGCTGATAGTATCTGGATAGTTCTTCCTAAACGCAGAGTGTAGTATTCACCAGAATATTCCCTTCTCATTGAGTCTGCTCTTTCCTTAAGTCATGTTGTGTTCTCGCTCTTTCTGATAGATACTCGGGAGATTTGAAGGCGTCACTGGAAGTTCCAACTTCTTCCCTCTCCCTTTTTTAAGCTTTGCACTTGTCCAGCACAAACTAATTTATGTGTATTTGTTTTGTGCTTCTCTGTTCTGAAACGAACCAGCAAACAAAATCTGAAAATGGTTATCTCCCCGTCTTTTTCGCCCCCCCCCCCAGCTAACTCTACTCACTTGAAGCTGAAGAGTGTATGTACTGCTTTGTTTGCTTGTCCTTTTCAATATGAAATAAGAAAGATATCAAAATGTGGACCTGTTTCGTGTATAATGTAGTTTCTGGTAATAGACGTAAAATTCTAATTATCATGCATGTGTTACAATTGCACATTGTACTTCGAATAGAATAAATGGATTCTACTGTTTGTTTTTAGGATGACACTCTTTCAGTCAGTCTTTGATTTCTTTTTCTGCTGTTGAGATTTTTTATCGACACAAAGAACAAACCAAAGTCGATGATAAATTCCACTAACTCTGCATCTACGTGGCCAGGGTTCCAAATCTCCAACAAAAAGGCTGAATGATTATATGATTCATCATCATCTGCCTTTCCCCCGTGCCCCCTCCCCGT